TTTGGTGATAATACGGTTTGGTAGCGGATATAATGGTCGTCGACGGTGTGATTGGTACTGGTTTGGTAGTTGTTAGAATTGTAGCATTGGGAACGGACTGGGATCTGGTTCGAGGAGGGGAAGGTCTGGATACACGTCTCGACTTGGATGGAGACTGAGGGGTGGTTTGCTGGTCCAAAAACGCACAGAAGGAAGAAAGGTTGGCGGATCCTGGATCACGTGGTGAAGATTCAGATGGTGTGGAAGGGGAAGACGAGTCTGAAAGTGAAAAGAGAAGGGGTGTGCCCTCTCTACGAGAGCGTTTACCTATGTCTGCTGGACTAGGAGTAGGTGAACTTCGGGCTCATTTAGGGGTTTGAATCGGCAGCGTGGTGGCTTTAGATGGTGCAGGTGTAGTGTCCATTTCAGTTGGTAGAGATATGGTTACTCTGGTTTTTGTTTCGTTGATTGTTTGGTAGAATTTGGAGATTACAGCTTGAGTGGGACGTTTCCCATAGGAGCGACGGGCCCAGGACAGGGCATGAGAAACGATGCGGTCGACGGCAGGTGATGATAAAGACTTGGTACGAATGGTGGTCAGCTTCTCTTGAAGTGTGGTTTGGTAATGGTCGATCAGGACCTGCGTAACCTTACAGAACCATGTCAGATTGAGGGATCTAATATTCGCGTCGACAGCTGATGTTTTCATTGCTGGACGGATAAAACTATCCAACTCAGAAACTTTGCGTTTGAAGGTAAACGCTGGTTGGCCTTGCTGTTGAAGGGTAAGGATTGCCAAATGATGGAGGCACTGCAAAACTTGGAAGATCACCTTCACAAAGGGTTCTTCCTCCTTATGAGTGGGGACTGGTTGGCGTCGGTGGGCTGGTAGTCGTTTCTGTTGTTGGTCAGGTCGATGGTTACCTCTTGATTGGTAGGCTGTGTTGTAGGTAGGTCGGCGATGGGGTGGGATATAGCTGGATGGGTTGATTGGTGGTCGGCGATTGGTAGGTGGTAGAGGTCGATGGAAGACAGGGCCGTTGTAGGGTACGTGATATTGGTTTGGTTGACGATTAGTGTTTCTATTTCTGGCTTCTTGCCAGTGGTTGTTGTAGTTGGGGAGCATAATGAAAATAACTTGGGGTTCGAAGGGAATGTACAGCGGATGTAACAGAGCTCTATCCAAAATAATATTCAGAACTATTACCAATCTGAAAAACTATCATACCATTTAAACAACAAAAATGATTCGTGCAGTAGTTGATTATACCTATTATTTAACACCTTAGTGAATATTTTTCTTATAACATTTAAGAGGGAGATGCCCCTATAGTTTGAGACATTTTTTCGGGATCCCTTTTTATGCACGGGGCAAATTAAGGCTTTACACCACTCAGTGGGAAAACACCATTAAATACCAAAATACTTGTATTATTAACTGACTAGATTCCTTGATCAATTCTAATGTTATTCCACAAATTCCTGGCGCTTTACCAGATTTCATGGACACATTTTGTAATTCCATGTTCTGTAATATAGGATTTCAATTGTTCGGGTTCATTTTGTTCACATACATCACAAAGTTCATCGTTGTCATGTAAAATTACGTCAATTGATTCTGTATTGGGATTACCACTGGGATCTAAAAGTCTCTTAAAGTGGGAAAACCATTCACCAGCATTTATATTTGCGGTCATACATTTATCATTCAAAAGTGATTTTATATTATTCCAGAAATCAACCGGAAAGTCTAGTTTATTAGTTAAATCAGATCTGACTTTATTACAATATAGTTTCTTTGGTTTTCACACACTGCTTTCAATGACAATCTTGATGGTTTATAAAGCTCTAGGTCAATGTTAGATTTTGTTTTACGAAAATTACTTAATAATTTGTTTTTATTATTTTTAGTAGTTTCACATTCGGTTATACTGAGTTATATTTATGTTGTGTTGTTGTTCTAAGCGGCACTTTACAGTATGCTTAGGAATTTATCCGATAGCTTATCTATATCGCCACCACTACTACTATTCTAGATTTCAGAGAAACACTGTTCAGAAAAATAACTATTTAAATAATTGATAAACGAGTCTCGTTGTTCAGCGTTCCAGATGTATTTTTGGTGGTTTGATAATGGTTCGGGGTGATCGTTAGGTACATCATGTGACGAGGAGGCTTTTATACAACACTGTATAGGCATATGGTCCGATTCATCTATCTTAAGACACAAAAATCACTGATGTGTAAAGAGGCAATCATATAGTCTACAACACTGAGCCCATTGTGTGTTTGACAGGTAAACATACCATCCTGATCTCCAGGGAATCGACCATTTAAAATATGTATATTGAATATTTTACATAAGGTTGTTAGGGTTACACGGAATTTATTGGTTTCTGAGTCGAGGTTATTCCTAGTTTCGTCGAATGAATCTGATGGGTATATATCTTCCGTTGGTATGTGTAGCAGACTGTCATCGGGTATTTAATCGTGTAACTTTCCTGTTCTACAATTAAGTTCCCCTGCTATATGTAAATTACTACTGGGGAATTCGTCATAGATTTGTTGAAGAATTTCTTCTAATGTGTCCGAATCTGTTTTCATAATATTTTGAACCTTCCTGAGAAGAAATATATATGAATATTGTTATTATATTTTTGTCTAAACCGAAGAAGGTTTTGTCTAGCATTAGAATTATGAGGAATAATGAGGAAGAATTTTTCGCCAAGCGGATTTAAAATAAGTCGAGACAAATACAGCAATACCACCGTGTTGAGGAGATTTCCTACAATATGTAAATTGTTCGTAACCATCGAGAAATATATCAGTTGGAGGTCTATAAAGCCAAGTTTCACAAATACCAACGATATCGTAGAAATTTAGTTAATTACGGAGATCTGAATTGTTAAAATGTCTTTTTAAACTTCGACAGTTCCAGGACACTATATTAATAATAACTTCGTGGGGGTGGGGGTCTTGCGTCTTAGCTGGTTGCTATGCATCTTTAATTAGTAAAAAAAGAACTGTTATCCCTCACAAGTCAGTCCGTCAGGAAAGAAAAGTTAATCAAACTATATGAACTCTTTTAAAATACATTTTGACAGAATCATTAAGCTCGAGATTTAAACACACCTTAGTAGGTACAAACTCTAGTCCGTCAGAAAACACGTCAAAGAACTGGTCTTCGTCACACGTCAATACGTCAATTCACACGTCAGACGCGTCAAAGAACTGTTATAATTCACAAGTCAGTCAAGAAAAGTTACTTAAACTATATGATCTCTCTTAAAACAACTTGTAAATGGGGGAAACCACTACATGCCCACATGCCAATACGTCAGTTCACACGTCAGACGCTTCAATATCTGTTGTGCGTCACAAGTCGATCCGTCAATTAAGAAAAGTTAATCAACTATGCTGTCTTAAAATACTGTCCCTGGTGTTCCAGAAAGTTTAAGTATGCCTTTATACGTTTAGTTTGAGTATCCATCACACTTCAGTAGTAGACTTAGCCAACAAAATTAAATTTTTAAATCATGATATATTGTGGCATGATTGACGCATTGGCTTTTTTACCTGTTGATCGTGTGAAAGATGGAATGCTCTAAGAAGTAATGATGAACTGACAGACTTGTTGGACTATTTCGATAATACATATGTGTCTGATGGATTTCGTGCTATACAGCCGCCTGCAATTGTTCCGGGAGGCCCTCTTCCCCTAATAAGAATGAGGAGGCGACCAGCTTTTTTTCCTCCCGAGCAATGAAATGTACATCTGGCCACCTTAAATACTGAAAGTCGTACCAACAACTTTTGTGAAGGATGGAATTAGTTGGTCACAGTCATCCTGGTATCTGGACTGTGATCGACAAGATTCGGAAAATTGCATGTCTCGTAGCAACTGCTTTCTATCAAGATGCTAGGGGTGAACTACCATAAAAACGCACCAAACGCTCTACCCAGCAATTGCAGGTCCGTCTTTATAACGTATGTGAACAGTTCAAAAAGGCTGAAAAAATGTGGAAGATTTCTTGAAAGGTGTAGCAAGAAATATAAGATTGTTGTGATTGTCCGATGAGCAATTATATGTGCTATCATGTTTCCTTATTGACATATAAATGTGCCCCAGCCTTCAAATAGGTTACCTTTGTTATGACTCAATGTGCTACATTAATTTTGTTTTACAATGTTAAGTTTGTTTGATATATATTAAAAGTTTTAAATAATTTGATTTTTTTTTATAGGGGCTTTTGTCTTAGATAATAAGGGGTTTTGTCCGTAGGGGCTTTTGTCCTATTGCAAAATTGTGTAGGGGCTTTTGTCCGTCTACCGTTAATTCATCACACTAATTAATTCACATACTTTTTAATTCGTGTGAACTGACGTATTGACGTGTGAACTGACGTATTGACGTGTGAACTGACGTATTGACGTGTGAACTGACGTATTGACGTGTGACGAAAACCAGTTCTTTGACGTGTTCACTGACGTACTGATGTTTTTACCTACTGAGGTGTATTTACAACTTTATTTTCAATATTTATCTTTTTTTCAATAATTACTTTTGTAGTTTTATTGATTTATCGGGTCATATGAGAGAATTCTGTTGTAAAGTTATAACACTAGGTGAGTCCACTGATGAATAAACAAATATTCTTTGCTCATCCTTACCATCAGGTAGTTCAGCCAGGGTAGCGTTCAATAAAAAGCATTCATTGCCATATTCTGACCATAAGCTCAATGTTACACAGTCACTCCTTTCCTTACACTTTTCAATGCATTGATTTAGATCTAGATCATATGACACAAAGATGATCGGAGCTCTGTAAAAATAACATTCCCTTAAATCAAGTATTGAAGCGGCACACCCAGTAAAACTTTTACATTCTTCATCACATAGGTCATCTTCAGTATACATGTAATCAAGATTGTCAAGGTAATTCAATGTTAAACATGTTTTATTCAAATACTTGTAACTACATTCTGAAATACAAATTATAGTATTACATAACATCTTACATATATTCTTTGCCAAAATGAGTTTTTGGACTAGGATCATCTAAGGTCGATGTCAAAAAACTAAAATTTTGGAAAACAAGTGTCTCTCTCAAAACTTCAAACTGTTAACCCCAGGTACCCACTATCAAAATCACCAATATAATTTATCAAACAAAATAAAACTGGAGCCGTGGGAATGGTTCTGAGGCAGTGCGTATCTGACCTGCTACATCGGTGAAAAGTTGCATTTTAAAGTTATAATGAGATTTTTACTATAAAAATGGCTTTGGTAGACAACCATTTTGTTCAGTAGTAAAGATGTATATATTTTATAATATCCTAAACCTACCATTACCCTAACTTCAGTAGTAAAAAGATGTATATATTTTATAATATCCTAAACCTACCATTACCCTAACTTCAATAGTAAAAAGTTGTATATATTTTATAATATCCTAAACCTACCATTACCCTAACTTCAGTAGTAAAAAGATGTATATATTTCATAATATCCTAAACCTACCATTACCCTAACTTCAGTAGTTAAAAGATGTATATATTTTATAATATCCTAAACCTACCATTACTTCAGTAGTAAAAAGTTGTATATATTATAGTTATTTGTAATTCAAGTATTTAAAATTATCTTACCTGTGCGTTTACATATTGGGTTTTGATATCTCCATTCTTCCTCAACACATTCCAGCTCTTGTACCATCTTGAAACCTTTTCTACATGTAATGACTACATTTCCATTGCAATCTTTATCAAAATTTGCGTCTGTTACATTTGGATATGTTGAACAATCTGTAAATTTATATCATCAAGTATTTGTCTCAAGAACTACATGTTAATTTACTATTTACAGACAAAGATGATTTAAAATGTGCTTAAGCTGGTTATCCATGCTGCTGAAAAGAAAGTTGCCTTCAGTAAACCTCTGACTCGGACTCTTCCAACAATAAAAAAGCTAAGATAATTTTCCCTTGATATACAAACTTTGACTTTAGATTCATAAAGCAACTTTTAGATAATAAATAACATATTTACCGGCATCTACAAGAATCACCATTACGGAAATCAACAGAACGGAACATAATAGGTTATTCACGGTTTTAACGTTAGCAAGACCTGTTGATATTATATATATACAGACTTGTTGATACACTGTCGAATGCTAGATTTGGTCACGTATTTATAGTAAATACAAAGTCTCCCACTGAACAGATGTTTCTTTCAAGACTGTCAATTAATATTTTATACCAGCAGATTAATGATAGATATCATACAGAATTTTTATTTATTCAACACAACTTTTTAACGAAAGGTTGCCATTAATATTTC